GAGGGAGAAGCAGACTCCCCGCTGAGCAGGGAGCCCGATGTGGGACTCGATCCCGGGACTCCAGGATCATGACCCGAGCCGAAGGCAGTCGCTTAACCAACTGAGCCACCCGGGCACCTGAGCAAGCAACTCTTAATGGGTTGTAAGTTCAAGCAATATTGGGTGTAGAAATTACTTAAAAAAAAAAAAAAAAAAAAACTGGAAGATTTCTCAGATATCTTTCTGTTACTGATTTCTATTTTATTCCATTTGGGTCAGACTTAAATTCCATTTGGATTCTACAATGGAATTCCATTAATTGCATTTGGTCAGATTAAATTTTCAATCATTTGTGGGACCATACTGAGGCCTGAGGTCAGGGACATTAAGGCAGGCATTGTCAGCAAGGTGAGAGTATTAAGTTATATCAAGCCCACAACATTTCTCTGACAATTGCTGATCCTTCATCTTCTTCATAAACATGTTCTGAGTGTAGATTGAAGGTCAAAAGTATGGGTTCAAATTCAAGTGAGATTCTTCTCTTCTACCCTTTCTCTCTTCCTCCTACCATTTTATTCCTTTTCCTTACCAGGGCTCTTGACCTTTGCAGAAGTGGGACTGAAGGTCATGCTTCCAAGAACCCCAATTTCTCCCCTCCCCTCTCCTCTAATTTCCTCCCGACCAAATCTCAGAGAACAGTCACTAGAGAGAGAAGGTGGGAGCAACAGAAATGAAAAGGAAGAACCACAATACCTTTTATGTCTTAATTGTAAAGGTCACACACTGTCACTTCTGCCATATTCCATTTGTTAGAATTGAGTCATTAAGTACAGCACATGCCTCTTTAAGAGAGGAGTATCAAAGAATTTGTGGACACAATTTATACCACCAGAACAATCTCATACTTTTTACTTTAAATAGTCATATATCTTTTTAAAAGTAATTAAGAGAAAGAAAGGAAATATGTATTGTCATTTATTTTTATACATAGTTATTATTTCTATGATAATAGAAATAATTAATCAATCAGCAAACTAAGCTCCTGGGCCAAATCAAACCCACGGCCTGTTTTTGTATGGCTTGAACACAAAGAATGGCTTTTACATCTTTTAAATGGTTGAGGGGGGGGAAAAAAAATCAATGGAAGAATGTTTTTGTGACATGTGAAAATTATATGAAATTTAAATTTCAGTGTCCGTTATAAAGTTTTATTGGAACACAGCCATGCTTATTTATTTATGTATTGTCTATGGCTCTTTTCACAGAACTGAGATGTTTCAACAGAGACCATACCATAAGACCCACAAAGCCTAAAATATTTAATATCTGGCCTTTTGCAGAAAAGTATACCAACACTTACTATTCATCCAAGTTACCATCTGATGGTAACTTTAGCCTTTAGCTTAAAGAACTTCCATTATCAGGATGCCTGGGTGGCTCAGTTGGTTAAGCATCTGAATCTTGATTTCGGCTCAGGTCCTGATCTCAGGGTCATGAGACTGAGCCCCATGTTGGGCTCAGTGCTGAGTGTGGAGCCTGCTTAAGAGTCTCTCTTTCTCTCTCTCCCTCTGCCCCTACCCCCACTGCTCACACACACCTTCTCTCTCTCTAAAATTAAATAAATAAAAAAATAAAGTTGAACTTTCTGACTAAAAAAAAATTTCCATTATCATTTCTTGTAGAATATATATTATTGGTGACAAATTCAGATTCCTCTTATCTGAAAACATCTTTATCTCAGGTTCATTTTTTTTTAAGATTTTATTTATTTATTTGAGAGAGAGAATGAGAGAGAGAGCATGAGAGGGGGAAGGGTCAGAGGGAGAAGCAGACTCCCTGCTGAGCAGGGAACCCAATGCGGGACTCCATCCTGGGACTCCAGGATCATGACCTGAGCCGAAGGCAGTTGCTTAACCAACTGAGCCACCCAGGCGCCCCTCAGGTTCATTTTTAAAGAATATTTTGCTAATAGTTAGACTGTGGAAAATACACTGTAGCAACACTAAATTCTGTTACATTTTTCTGAAAACTGTTGGTTTTTCTTCTAACAGGTAACTTGTCTAGACCCAAACTAAAAATATAGAAATTTTGCCTGACGGGCGCCTGGGTGGCTCAGTCGTTAAGCGTCTGCCTTTGGCTCAGGTCATGATCCCAGCGTCCTGGGATCGAGCCCCGCATCAGGCTCCCTGCTCAGCGGGAAGCCTGCTTCTCCCTCTCCCACTACCCCTGCTTGTGTTCCCTCTCTCACTGTGTTTCTCTCTGTCAAATAAATAAATAAAATCTTAAAAAAAAAAAAAAAATTTGCCTGAAAGTTGGGTTTTGTTGGGGGGGGGTGTTTTGGTTTGATTGGGGGGGCAATATTTTAATATGATTTTTGGGTATTTTTGTCTCCACTGCTTTAATAAATCAGGTGTTAATCATATCATTACCCCCTTGTATTTAATGTGCCATATTTTCTCTTGGCTGCTTTCAAGATTTTCTCTTTATCTTTGACATTTGGCAAATAATGTGCCTAATAATGGTTTTCTTTTTTATTTATTCTACTTGGAAGTCACTAAACTTCTTGGATCTCTAAGTCAGTTTTTTTTTTTTTAACCAAACATGAAATGTTTTTGCCACTATTCCTTCAAATATTTCCCTGCCGCTTTCTCTCTCCCCTCTACTTATGGGACTAAGATAGCAAGACTTCAGCTTTTCTCCCACGGAGCTATGGAGCCCTCTGTCAAAAAAGCAGCAAACTTGCAAATCTCACCTATTGCAGTTGTAGCTTTCAAAGGTCATCTCCTATTTGGTTTGCATTGCTTTGTTGACCAGCTTCCCTTAGTACTCACAGCTGTCATCCAGGTATGGTTGGCAGAATTTATACTCTAACATGGGGTTTTAGCCCTCTGGCAGCTTACTCATCAGTTCCAGGATTTTCCTCCTAAATTCCAAGTTGTTTTGCCAATCTTCAACTTTGTTCTCTGATACCTCAAGTCAGTATGGTTGTAGTCTGCTGTCTCTGGGGCTATGAGAGTTGGGGAGCACCTTGTTTAAAAAGCCACAGATTCACAATTCTTATCCACTACTTAACTTACTTCAAAGAATAAACTCTCCTCTGGTTTCTGCTTCTTTTTGGTCTTTCAGTGTTTTTTTGTGTTGTGTGTGGTTTTTTTCGTGTTTTTTGTTTTGTCTTTTTCCAGTGCTTTCAAATCATTTTGTTATTTTTAAATTTTCTCCAGGTTTTATCATTGTTACCTGTGGAAGGGTTCATTCACCTTGCCAACTATTCATTACCTAAAGCTGGTAGTCCCCTGTTTTTTTAAAAACTGTCTCCTAGACTTGAATTTGTAATTTTATATATTATAAAATTTTAATTACTGGTAGTACTATAATAGAAAATGGAATAAACTACCTAAAATAATGGAAAAGCTCCAACTTCCATAAATTTGCATGTAAATATAAATATATAATTTCCTCATGCAGCCTGTGCTGTACATGGTGCCCTCCTAATTCTGAACCCATATCTACTAAGCTGGAATGCACTGAGGGTCATGAAAATCAACAAAACAAATAAACTACTTGCAACTATTTAAAAGTTGAAAACAATTAATTTAAACTCCCAAAAAAGATTTGTAGGCTGTTTTAAATAATGTCCCATGGATTAAAAGATTTAGAAAAGGATAGGTAATTGAAATGAAGACTTATTGTATACCTTTTAGAAACAACAGTAATAATTAATAGTAACACTTAAGGATGGTCTTTTTAAAATGAAATACTTACCGTTGTTCTTTCTAAAATGAGAAAACATTTTTAATAGTATTTTTCAAAATGCATTACACATTTTCTTATACCAAAACAGCCAAAGAAGAACTGAAGAACCCACGACATTGTTTTTAGAAATTCTACTTACATTCTCCTTTCACTGATAACTGGATTCTAAAATTTCATGAAATTTCAATCACAAACTGAAATTAACAAAGTAAATCTGTGGTGATTTGTAAAAAGCTCAGAATATGTAAGTAATTTAAGTCCATTATATGCAAATTGCTGAGTTAGGCTTTGAGTATTCTACAGGATCTCTTTATTCTCACTATAGCAATGGCCAAATAACTATAATCCCACAATAGGCAAAAGAATCCATTGTCATTCAGAATGAGTATAACAAATAGAAAGGAGGAAATGGAGACCAAGGGCATCTTTTCACACCAATTTTATAAAAAAAAGAAAAAAATAAAAAAAAATAACCACCATGATTCTCATTCTTCCTTAAGCCAAAACATTAATGTGGTGACTTTGCTCTAAACCAGACACAGAAAGGTCTGATAGAACTGCAATCAAACAAAATGGATCAAATAATGATACACAAAAGCAACACTGCTGATGTTGAAATTCAAGCATAAGCAAGCATAAAAATCAGCCAAAACAGAAAGGGGCAGAGGAAACTTTTGGCAGTATTGGGTATGGTAATTAACTAGACTGTGCTAACGATTTCGCAAGTGCATATATATGTCAAAACTTACCAAACTCTATGCTTTTGCATGCAATTTTACCTCAATTAGGTTTCAATAAAGTTTTAAAAAATTAGCAGGAAAAAAAACATTACTCATTTTTAACCATCATTCAGCTACTTTAAAGACAAAACTGAAAACTAATTCAGATTCTAAAACCAAGTATAATTAACAACTCAAGGATCACAGGCAAACACTCATCCAAATTCAAAGAAGAGGTATATCAACTTTTTCAAAAGAAAGAAGAAATAAAGTCTCAATCAATGGAAGTATCCTGAGACTGGTCAAAGGATTATGGAGGTCACATTGCCTATGCAATTTATGTCCCACCCTGGTGCAGAATGCTCCTGGTTTCCATTTCCAAACAAATATGTGATGACACAGAGTTTATCAGGATTTGCAGCCTTACTGTACTTCTCTTCCTTGCACCTCTGCAGAATCTCTAAGCTCCTCTGGTGGACTGGGTGTTGGAGAAAGCTAAAACTATCCATACTTTTCAAAACTGCACATGGCGCTGTATCATCATGTCCTTAGGAAGCAAAAGAAAAACAAAAAATGGAGAAAAGAAAAAGATATTATATAAGCCCAAACCAACAGAGAATCAAGGACAATGCTGCCAACTATCTTAAGAATATATAAAAATGTATCAAGTAATATGGGTTAAATGTGAATAAATTTTCTAAATTGATTTGAGGAAATTACACAAAAATAAAAGGAAAATATAAAAGTCTTTTTTAGGTATTCCAAGTATCCCTTTCAGTACTGAAAGTGTTGAGTTAATATTATACTAAAAAATTCTAATTTAAAATATATGGGAAATTCCAAAACAATTTATGTTTTTTTTAACAGACCCATTTTTATCAGGTCTGAAAAATAATTAGCATATAGTTGGCAACAATGCAAGGAACAATGATGGAACCCCAAAGAGAAATATACCCAAAACAATTTGCCAAAAGTTAAATAATTCCCTCACAAATTTTGCAATTAACCACACTTGTAGGAATTCCAACAAGTGTGTCAACGTTTAAAGAGCAGGATGAAAAGCACCACAGAGCAGGAAAACCCAACAGCACTTTGGTATTTATAAATCTGAAAAGAAAGTTGGAAAATGTACCTCACCACCACTTAGTCAAGTGAGACAGAATCAACTACTTGTTGGAAAGGGAAGAGAGCATGTTCAAGTAAGGACCAAAGCCCCAAATTAGTGCTACTGAAACAGTGAGTCACTCTAACAATAAAGGGGATTGGGGGGAGTACCATTAATATTAGCAACAGATGGATTTAAGAGAGAATAGGCATCTCCAGGTTGGGGTGGGGAGGGTGTTGACTATCATTTACTCAAAGAACATCTCTAGAATTAGGACATTTAGTTCAAATTGGTGTAGGTTTGCCTTTTAAAAAACAAAAGGGAACAGTTTAACAATAGATAGAGACAAAGTAAGCAACACAATGAATGAAGTTTCATTAGTGCATATTTACTGTATAATTAGAAATGAGATACTATCTATGAACAGTTCTCAATGCAGAATCATTTAAAAAGTTAAATAGAGGCAGAGTAGTTCAAAGAGGTTTGCAAAGCAGAGTTTAATCTAACTATAATTATAAATAGCAGGTTTTTAAAGATAAAATAGATTTGAAAATTATTTTCATATCCAATATTGAAAAAGTAAATTAATAAAACACTATCTCATTCATCCAATGTGGAGAGCCCATAGCTGCAAATGTTCAATGTTTCAAAAAGAGACAAATATCAAGTTACCCATCATTTCTTAGCTGAAGAATACCTCAGTAAAAATATTCTATGCCCATTATCAATAATTCTCCCCACCACTTTTGATAGGCTGCTTGAAGAAAGAACGCTTAGGCTCAGACTAGCCTATATACTTGGGTTAGTTGGTGGTGCTGGAAGGTAGATATCAGTTGAGGGGGACCATTTGAGGGGAAAAAAAAAAAGGCCTGTAAAGTTCTATTTATACTCTAACCAAACTGTAATTTTAAAAAGTTATCACTAGACTTTCAGGCTATCTTGATAATCTGCCAGTTAGAAATAATTTTAAGGAGATTATGGTATTAAAGTGTTTTATGTAAAAGTTCAGGATATTAAATATACTAAATTAGTAAGCAGTTTGAAGAAATCACTTGACATTACTACAGCCACTGCACTCTTTTATCTAATAAATTGTGGCAATGATGTCTGGATATAGGTAATTTTGTATTTGTGACTGTTTTATGTCTCACCATCACACCTATCTTATTTTTTTTAACTTCTTTCATTCTGCTTTCTACGCCTTCTTTTAACTCTTTATTATTTTAGACTAAAATACTATTTCCAAACCTTAAATTGATCTTCCTCTCATTTGCTTAACAATGCCCTGTTAAGGTGGTTAGGTTTCCTAGGATGTTTATAAGTACATTTTCAGGGACAGTTATTGTCTAAGGAGTCTCATAAACTCTTAAAACATGTTTATGTAGTGTTGGTTTATGCTAGTTCCTGGTCTAGTTTTGTTAATTTCTTACCTTAAGATTATGCACCAAAATACAACATAAATTCAGACCCCATATGTATGCATGGTAAACATATGGGGCACTGATTTTTTTAAAGGTAGTTTAAGAAAAACCTTATCTAAGGCCTAACACAGATTTCTAAGGTCCTTTTTATTTCTCTGCTCAAGGCCAATGGACAGAATTTTTCAATCATCTTTTCAGTGACAGCAAAGTCCAAGCTCTTTGAAGATACTACACCACATAACGGAACTCAATCCTAGTTGATCATTCAAACCTGAAGCCATGTCTCTGATCCTAAAGCAGTTTCTGTAATGCCAGCTTCCAGGCCTCATGGCCATTAAAGGTATATCTCAAACACAGTAACCCACCAATCTCAAGTATAAATTTGATGAGCTTAAAAAATATTTACATCCATGTAATCCTCAGTCAAGATATAGAACATTTCCATTATCTCAGCAAGTTATCTCATCCCCTTCCTATCAATACCACCCTTGCCTTTGCAGAAGCAATCAAGTTATGATTTCTATCACTATATATTATTTTGCCTGTTCTTAAACTAAATGAAAGCATGCACTATGTATCCTTTCATGTCTGGCTTTTTTGCTCAGTATTTTTTTGTGACTCATTATGATACTCATTATGAGAATCAGTAATTTGTTCTTTTTTACTGCAGAGTAATGTTACATGGTAGGAATGTATCACAACTTAGTTATCTTTTCTTCCACTGATAGATTTTTGGGTGTTTCCAACTGGGGGCTATTAAGAACAGACACTATGAACATTTTTTTGTGTTTTGTGTATAATAGTTCCATTGAAATATAAACCACATACTACACAATTCACCTATTTAAAGTGTACAATTCAATGGTTTTTAATGTAATTCCCAAAGCTGTTGAACCATCACCACAATCAATTTTAGAATACCTTCAATAAACCCAAAAGAAACCCTATCCTTTTTAATTATCCTTTCCCTCATCATCTCCCAGCTTGCCTACTCCAGGCCTAGGCAAACACTAATCTACATTCTACCTCTACAGATTTGCCCATTCTAGACATTTCATAAATGCAATCATACGTTTGTTATTTGTGATACATGCTTAATGTGGCCTTTTGTGTCTGATTTCTTTCAGTTAACAAAATGCTTTCAAGGTTCACCCATGTTGTAGCCATGTACTAATACTTCATTCCTTTATACGGCAAAATTACATTCCACTGTATGAGTATACCACATTTTGCTTATCCATTCGATAGCTGAGGGACATTTAGGTTGTTTCCACCTTTGGCTTTCAGGAATAATGTTACTAGGAACACTGTGTACAAGTTTTTGTTTGAACACACGTTTTCGATTCTTTTGGGCATCCACTGAAGAGCAGGGGCTGTTTCACAAAGTGGCTACATGTCCACCAGTAGCATACGAGGCTTCCAGTTTCTCCACATCTTAACCAACATCTATTACTACCTGTTTTTTTTATCGTAGCCATCCTAGTAGATGTGAAGTGGTATCCACTGTGGTTTCCATATGCATTTCCCGGATAACAAAGGGTGTTGAACATCTCTTCACGTGTTTGACTATGCATTTTTTTTTAAAATGTCTTTTAAGAATCTTTGCCCATTTTTGACTGGGTTATTAGTTTTTTATTATTGAGTTGTAAGAGTTCTGTATATATTCTACATACCAATTCTTGATCATGATTTACAAACATTTTCTTATTCCATAAGTTGTCATTTCACTTAATATTGTCCTTTGGGGACAACATTCATCCATTTCTCCTTTGGTTGCTTATGCCGTAGGTGTCCTACTGAAGAATCCATTGCCTAATATAAAATGGAAAGTGTCAGTCCTCCATCTTTGTTCTTACATTTTTGGATCCCTTTACCTATCAATTTTAGAATTAGCTTGTCAATTTCTGCATAAAGGTAGCTGAGGTTTTGACAAGGACTATGTTGAATCTGTAGGTCAAGTACTAACATCTTAAGCCTTCCAATGCATGAACATAGGATATCTTTCCATTTATTTAGGTATTTTTCAAGTTTTTTTCAACAGTGTTTTACAGCTTTCTGTGAACAAGTCTTGCACTTCTTTTGTTAAATTAATTAATAAATATTTTACATTTGTTGGTGCTCTTGGAGCACTAACTTAATTTTGTTTTCAGGTTGTTCACTGCTAGTATGTAAAAATACTAACTAATTTTGCATACTCATCTTGTATTCTGCAACCCTGATGACCTCATTTATTACCTCTAATAGATTTTTGTCTGGGTATTCTATACATAATACGTCACCTGCAAACAAAATGGTTTCTTCTTACGGATGTCTTTTGTTTTTCTTGCCTAATTGCTCTTACCAGAACTTCCAGGAATGTTAAAAAGGTGAAAGCAATGACACTGGGAAGGGTATGTGCTACGGTGAGCACTGTGAATTGTGTAAGACTGTTGAATCACAGAACTGTACCTCTGAAACAAATAATACATTATATGTTTAAAAAAAAAAAAAAAAAGATGGAAGGGGAAAAATGAAGGGGGGGATCGGAGGGGGAGACAAACCATGAGAGACTATGGACTCTGAGAAACAAACTGAGAGTTCTAGAGGGGAGGGGGGTGGGGGGATGGGGTAGCCTGGTGATGGGTATTAAAAAGGGCACGTACTGAATGGAGCACTGGATGTTATACGCGAACCATGGAACACTACATCAAAAACTAATGATGTATGTATGGTGATTAACATAATAAAATTAAATTTAAAAAAAGGCGAAAGCAGACACCCTTATCTTGTTTCTGATCTTGGGGGAAAAGCATTTGTCATTCACCATCAAGTATGATGTAAGCTTTTGGTTTTTCACAGATCCTCTTTCTAGAATGAGGAAGTTCCCTTCTATTCCCAGTCTGTTTTATAATTAAAAATTGAAAAGGTGTTAGCTTTCATTAAGGATTTTCTTTATGAGGTGATCATGTGATTTTTTTTATTACAGTGATTTGACTTTTTTAAGTTAAAACAATCTTCATTCCTGGGTAAATTCTACTAGAT